GAAGGAAGAGTAAGAACTCTGCACCAAAGCTCTAAGGGTCTGTTCCTGGCTTGGTCTTTGAATTATTGGGAGGATCATGGCTTGACATGGGGCTTCCGGTTAGATGTGGGTTCTACAAAGGCTCATAGATGTGGTAGTGCACAGATGCACAATCTGAATATCAAAGATGTATAGCTTTGAGATTCAGTGGAATCACTGTGGGTGGTGTCAGAGGTTGAGGGGTTTCATTTTGGGTTAAAACATTTGAAAATGCTGTCTCTACTTTGGTGTGTCCTATCTCATCTATACGGTACTGCTAGTGTGATAAAGAGTAGGATGAGCCTCATGGAATTGCTGTTGCTAACAAAGGCTGTCACAGGAGATGCCGGGATGGGTAGAACAATTGTTGCTTTATCATTATGCTATTGTCCTAGACTGGAAGTGGTTAACAAACTGATCTCAGGCAGCCTCGTCAGTTGAGCCTTTCTACTCTATTATCTGCTCTATTTCTTTTGTTTTTTATTCTTTTCCAACAAGTGCAGGATATAGAATAGTAGGTATTTCAACTGTAGTTGTATGTTTTATTTGAAGTACTGCACAATAGGAGCAGCATACCTTTGTCTAGAATGCTGAAGATAAAATACTTTCCCAGGAAGTAACTTCTAAACGCATGTTCTTACAATCTGTGGCTTGCAGCTTCCCATTTGCTCTCGGGTGACTCAGAATCCAGCTACCTTCCTGTGGATGACATATTAGCTGTCATTCAGAGTCCCTCTGATCTGAAGATCACTTTTCTTGCCTGTTACTTGGGTTGTATCTTCACAAGATTTATCTGAGCAAGATAGCAACTGTTGGCTCCAAGTCACAGAACAATGAAAGGTCTTTCTGCTAGTAGTGGCTGCTTCCTTCTCTGCTTCCCCCAAAGGCTGTGGAAACCAGTTCAGAATAGAGAAATGTCATGGACTAATGTCATGCCCTTCTGAGGACTTTATTGACATGTTTCCAGAGGAACCTATTTAATAGGACTGGTCAGAGTCTTTGTATTTGTTTGGTTTGTTGTTTTTTTTTTTTTCCTTAACCTATAAAGCAAGGTTGTAGCCAACTGAGGCTTCAAAACTTCAGGGTTCTTTGGGTAGGATGAAGCATTGTTCATGGGCCCGTTTCTTAGCCTTCATTTCTACAAGAGGATCAGACTTCCAGGGAAGCACAACAACCTGACAGTGTTTGTTACCCTTGCATCACACCATATTTTACAGTAAATTTCTTTGAGCTGGCACTGAACATAGGAGTTGGGCCTGCCTAAGAGGGAATATGTTGCTGTTCACTCTTCCTCCTTGCTCTGTGTTACAGTTTGCTGTTTTGTCGTGGAGTGTACAGTTGTCTTTGTGCTCTTTTTACCTGAGCTTCTTGCATGTTGAAGAATGGAAAAGTGTTTGGTTAGTGCTTTTTCTCTTCTGCATGAGGATCTTGATAGTAATGGTAACAATGAATTGGAGCTTTTGTGGGCCTGAGTAAAATGATTGTCTTAGCTTTGTTTCACCCTTTTCTTTTCATCCCTTCTCCAGGACCAAGCACTACCTGCCAGGAAGATTCCTGTGCAAATCAAGGCATCTGTAATCAGCAATGGGAAGGCTTCACCTGTGATTGCTCCATGACTTCATATTCTGGGAGCCAGTGTAATGACCGTAAGTAGGCTTTTTCATTGGATTGGTGAGCTGTAAGTTCTTGTGCATGGGAGCACAGAGAACACGTGGTTAGTTTTACTTTCAGTTGAAATACAGCTTTCCCAGTGTCTGTTTTTCCCAGTACTCTGTTTCCTGGAAAGTTTCTTTGAAGCATACAGCAGGTTGGTTTTTTTTTCCTTGTTAAAATGTAAATATGCAATTTGGTATGTGTTGGGGGTTTTGGGTTTTTTTTTTGTCTTTTTAAAAGCTAACTCAACCGGACCAGTGATGGTAATTGATGTTAATGGAATTCCTGGTTTAGAGAAACCAGGAATGACTTGTAAATATTGTGTGTAATACATAGGTACAAAATGGCTAGGTTTTGTGTACCGAATTATACTTTGAGGTTTTAATTCAAACCCTGGTGACAAAGACACGAAATCCATGTAAAACTTCTGAGCAGTGTTCTAGATTGTCTTCTATTGAATTACTAGCTGTGTGCTAAGACGAAAAATTTGGTACTGTTTGCTAGAACATTCAGTTAAAACCAGGTGGCTGATCAAACACACAGCGTTGTGCTTCTTGGCATATTGATTTGCTTCATCTCAAAACATTCGATGTTCTTGGCCAATTACTATTAAGATCTCCGATAAAATAATTGAACAAAACCCTGAAGTCTTCCTTTAGGGGGCAGATAATCAGCTTTCAGAGATTCCCTCTGCTCATCCTGAGATGGCATTTGCTCCTGCCTGGAGGGAGCAGATCAGTTCAGCTTTACTCTCTCCCCACTTTTATTATTTAAGGTGACAGTTAGTCCCCTTCTCCATGCCCGCTCCAAGGCAGGGAACAAAAGAGCATGTTTTGAGTGCTGTAGTAAGCATAACAGTAGGCTTCAATAATTTGGTTCACTGTGTGTCTAAATTTTAAAACCATAAAAGACTAATAGTCTACTGTGACCACCCGCATCTCACAAGCTGCTGCTTTTCATTAAGTGTATTTGCAGTAGACTTTAGTGGTACCAGCAAAGTCCATGCAATATTGGTGCCACAGCACTGTCACATCTGCAACCCTTTCCCTAGAAGTTTGAGATGTGGCTGAATCAATTGCACATGTGACAAGCTGTTTAACCCATGATGACATTCTGTTTCTGCTCAAGGCCAAAAAGTCTGTTTTTCGGAGTCATTCATAAAATGCAGTGTTATTTGCATTGGTCTCCCCTTTCTTTCAGCATAGGTCTTGCAAACAGGTATTGGAAAGGCCTGTCAGCATTAGTAGTTTGACAGGAGCTGTATAAGAAGGGTACTATGTACACAGATTTATAGGCTGTAATTCCATCCCTGGTTTTGGGTTGTTTTGGAATCCAGAATGATGACTTTGGGTCCAGAAGAAACATGTCATATTGGAGCCACAAGATTTGGCTCAGATTTTCTGCATCCTGGTTTCCTATTCTTGCACTACTTGTTCAGTCATTCAGTTTAGACTTGCTAAGCATAGCACATTAAAAAGCTGTTGTGTAAAATAAATGCTACTTTGAATCCTGTTGGGCTGTATTTAAGCACATGTCCAGGAAATCTCTGAAGAGATTATTGATACTGTTGGTTTTGTTTCTAATGTGCTGGGCTTCACAGCTCCAGAATGTCGCAGTGCCCTTATTATGCCGCTGCTAATGACTTAGAGCAGGCTCTGAAGTGTCAGGAAGCCAGGTTCCTGCATCTGTAATTGGGGATTCCTTGCTGCTTTTTAGAGCTGGCAGCTGGAAACCATGCCAGGAGCACAGACAGGGGTTTGATATGAGTGGGGGTGATGTGGGCAATGTGGTAGCCAGCCTTCCAGTGTCAGGCCTGGCTGGTGATTTAGAAATGCTTACAGGAGAATGTGCGTTTCAAAATGGTCCGGAAAGGTAAGTCATGTGGACCCTCCTGGAACACAACAAGACTTTTCAGCCAGGATCTTCAAAAAGTGCGTATAACATCTTTTTGTGGTGGTTTTGTTTTTTGTTTTGGGTTTGTTTTTTTTTTTTGTTTGGTTGGTTTTTTTTTTAGTCTCTGCCATGTATTGGGACACTAAAAACCTAGTTCTACTCCTGGTTGCCTGATGAAGTTATGAAGTGTTTTGGGTTACAGAGGGGGAGAAGGCTTCCTTCCTGTTCCTGTCTGTTAGATATGGTTGCTATTATACGTTATTATAATGGAAGCACAAGCACTAGTATGTTAATTGAATAAATGTTCTTTAGACTGGATTTTAGTGCAAGTAATGGCAGGAGGAGATAACTTCTGTGTAACCTGAAGTCTTGCTATTATTTAGAAATACATCAGGCTCTTTGGTAGAACTTTCTTTTTGCCACAGGAGTCCAATTCTATTAATTTAGCAGATGCCTATTTCTATTTTATGAGCAAACTGTGGTCTCTCACTGGGGTAAATATGGAATGTTGAAGTCAATAGAACAGGCCTAGATTTATACAATGGAAATGGTAGAAAAAGGAGGACTTACTGAATACATTTTGTCTTCCAATTTCTGTTAATCAACTCAAGCATCCACACTGGAAAATTTGTGTTTCCGTGTGTTTGATGCAGAATATTTCAGTGCCTCTGAGGTAGATAAATGGCATGGCTGGTGTTTTCTTCAATTATTCTTGATGGTCTGTTTAGATCATCCCCAATTAACTATCAGAAAGCATGACTTGTTATTTGCTAGTGTAAACTTTGCAAAGTCAATCAGTCTTAACAATACTCAAGAAAGCTTGGTGCGCCAATATCTTTTTGCTTTTCAGTTTTGTCCCAGGACTGGGCCATTAGGCTTCCCAATTCAGATGCATCTGGTGTGGAACTGCTGTTTCTGAAAGGTGAAGGAGAAGCACAGGTGGCAAAGATGAATGTTGTACATCTATAGACATGTTTGTATGTTCACTAGTGTTGTTTATCAAGGATTTACATTCCTGGTGGAAATGATGATACAACCTTAATTTTCAGCTGTTGTGTAGCTCTGTTTTAGATATTCTTTACAAGATTCCTCAGAATAAGAAAATAATGGAAGCTATGGGGGCATAAATTCAGTTTTAATATGCTTCATTTTTGAGTTGTATCATTTCTTGACCCATGTTAAAAAACCAAAACAACAACAAAAAACCACTGATGCCACCTGCCCTCAAATTTGGTCTGTTGTACCAAGTGAAAGTAAAGGTCTCCCCTTCATACTAGCTGGTAGAAACACCTATGAAGAAAGGTAGAAATAGAAACAGTAGTACTATTTGGGACACACTGATTCCATTCTCCTTGCCATTTAAGATCTGTTCTTCATTTTTTGAAGTGGTTCCTCGTTCTTCAAACTCTAGAGATGTTTTAATCAGTCCAGCATCACATGCAATAAATCTGGGCTTTCAGCCTATTTTCAGAATTTGTTTGTTACTCTAAGATGTAGGAAATCAGCATTAATGTACTGCAGTTGATATTTAGGAATATTAAACAACCTTTGCATGCCAAACTGTTGCTTAGGCTGCTCAAATGTGTAACTTTGAGCAGATAAGGTATCAGAATTAGAAGTTAACCCACAATGTTAACAAAGCGTCTTGTATCTGGGGTGAACTCCATCCTGTTACTGTTCTTCACTGTGATATGAGATAAAAACATGGTGGTTACGAGATACCTGAGATGCAGCATATAGTTCAACTGTTGTCCTATAAATAGCTTTACTGATTCTTTAACTTATTCATGCTCTTGTGTATCTGGTCAAATGGTATTTTCTTTTCTGCACAGAGAGAATGCATAAAAAGTAGGCTTTGGCAATCTAGCTAATGGGAATGCTTACATGTATGTCATATGTATGTCAAACTAGATCATAGAAAACACTGCTTGATACTCAGTGCCTCATGCAGGTAAGTAACACCAAGGGTCAAGCTTTCCAGGAGAACTTGCCAGGCTAACACAAGTATGTATTAATGGAGGCTGTCTGTAAAAGATCAATAACCTGAAGCAGTGACTTGTGCAAGCAGAGTATCAAGCGCTTTTTCAAACAGCTTTTTTTGTTGTTGAAACAGTTGTTCAAGTCCATCTGCTGACTATTGATTGGCTTTTTAGAGGGTTTGTTTATTCATTTATTTATAAACTCTGGGTTGCAATGCCCACCTGGTTTAAGAATGAGTCTTCCATTTGACTGGTAAAAAGAAAAGGCAGCCCTTGCTTGTCTGTCCTCCTCTGTGTGTGTGTGTGTGCATCTTCATATGCTTCCAGTCTGCATACTTTTCAAAGAGCTTGTTGATAAGCAGAGCAATCCTCTCGCCTTCCAGTATGATTGTTTGGTTAAGTGGTGCTTTTTTTTTTGTCTGGGGTAGAGGTAATATACAGGGCTGTTGGGTTTTTTGCACGGTAAGTTCTATTTTTCTTCCATGCAATGCATAACCTGTATGCTTCTACTGTCTTTCTGTGAATCACATTTGGAGGAGGGAAGGATTAGAGGGAAAGGGAGTCATGGTGACTTTGCTCTTTTGTTCATTAATTTAGTATTGTCACAGGAAGAGCTTTTGATAACTTGAGTTCTGTAATCATTGTGAGTGAGGCTTTAAGAGTAAAGTACATAGCATTTTGGATTGAATGAGGAAGACTGAAACTGGCCTCTCTGCCACATGTGTGTTCTAGGTGAGATGCCAGGGATGTCAGAGCAGACCCATCCCTCTTCCACTAATGCCCTTCCTTTTTTACCCCCTCTACGTAAGTGGGGGGAAGTGTATTGATGCTTCTGGAGCATAGTCTGTAGACTGGATTGCAAAAAGGCAGTGACAGAACCAGCTTCCCTCACCCCTGTCTAAATAGCACAGCAGAATAGTCATTAGAAGAGTCTGCTAGTAAGGCAAATGGCTAAAGTAGTAACTGTTACTTTATGGTGATGGCTTTATTTCGATGTGCTCGTGAGCCATTTGCACTCCACACTTGTTTTGTCTGTCCCATTGAGCAGTTTACAGCTATTTCCATGGTAGGATTCAGACCCCTAGTTGGGAGATGGACCCTATTCCCTCTCCCTCAGTATT